TCCAAAATTAATCACATCTTACAGACTAACCAATAGTAGTGACGATACCAGTGCTCGTAAAATTCAAATACTGTTTTGGATTTACCCATCAATTAGTTTGTTATACGGAAAGGAATTCTAGCTTTTTGTTTGTCATAAAATAAATATTTATGTGCAAAACATGCGATTAGTTTGCGTTCAAAAAACTTCAATAAAATTCACGATAAACGCGGGGAATGTCTACGTATGAGATGTACTGATGGGCAGGTATTATGCGGTCTGTACAGGTAGGCTATGAGCAAGGTCAGTCATACTACGATGGAAATGACTTAAAATATATACAAAAAAAAAGTTTATTTTTACGTCAATTAGTCGATGGCTTACGAGGAGATCGACACACAAATCGTTTTTTAGGGTTTGCTTAGCAATCAAACGCTTAAAATAGTTTCCTTTCATAAGTGAAAGTAATTAATACTTTTGTATAAAACTTTTAACTCAATTATAACTTTCACGAGATATAAACGATTCGCACGAAACACCTGTCCATCAGGTGTCGACTAGTAATACAAACATCACTTATAAAGTTGTTTTGAATCGCATTTTCATTGAAACGCGTTTTTTTAGTACAGAAAATAAAAACACACATTCAATTAGAAAGTGATTAATTTTGTTAAGTTATCCCCTGTTTACTGGAATAGTTTATGCAAATCGCTCCGGGATTACATGTATTTCCACATCCAATACAAAGTGATGCCATTTATCAGATCGACAATCACTGGGAGATCAGTGGGAAAAGTGGTTTTCAGACACGGATTTCGATGGGTTTTTTGAGCATTAAAAAATATGCAACAAAAAAATATATGACTTCCCCTCACATATACAGATTAGAAACTCGATTCTATGCTAAAAAAACTAATGCATATTCTTGACGACAATTTCTCAATAAGTTTTTGACACAAAATTAACAATTTATGGCATCAGACAAAAACATATCATTAAACGCCGTTTGTTTGGCAATATATCGATAGACAGTTAAGTCGCGAATAAAAGTATTGCAAAAAATAAGTTTTATTTTTGAAATAAATTCATATTTGTGTTAACTATATGTGGAATTTTGTGTGCAATTTGTGGCAAAATATTAATGCCTTGTATTAACTGATTGATAAAATATGCGAATAAATGTATAGACGATTGCATATTGCGTTAAACACTGGATTTTTTGATTGCATTTAAATAATTCACAATTTGATATTTGCCGAGATTTTCTCAATGTTATACTAAAATGCAAAAACATATTACTTTTGATCATTATCAAAATGTTTTTCCCAAATAATATGAATTTTATTCTTGATAATGAATATTTGGCTGTCAATTGGCAAAACTATATGATAAATATATATAAGACTAATATATGTGATACAGTAATTAATTTCCACAGAATATTCTTTATAACAAATTCAATGTTTATTTATATTCATGAAATCATGGATGTATTGAATAATAAATTGTTTAAACACACGATTCATGAGAGAGAGAGAGAGAGAGAGAGAGAGTCAAACCTGACGTCAAGTCTTAAGAGCAATAAATCCATTGAAAAACGGACAGAAAGTTTGATCAATGATTGCTTTGCATTGCATTATAAAGCACTTAATATTTTTGTTACTGTATTGTAGACCCCCTGAAGGGGTGAATGGCCCACCCTTTGCAGCACCAGTTCGTCCACTGATTGGTTACTGTGAGCCAAATGTCCCTGGTATATTCCCAGTTAATCAGTGGTATATCCCCATAACCTTCGCGATACCACAGTTCATATCTGTGTGCATCAAATGCACGACTATTGAGACGATTACGCTATTGAGCTGCAAAAACATGCCTTTCCACTGAAAACTATGTGTCAAACCAAACACTTTAAGCACACATTTAGTCGTTTTGTGGTTCGGATTCGCGTTTAAATCAAAATCATATCTAAAATCAATGAATCAATTGCCAAAAATTAACCAAAATATCTGTCAATGTATAATTCTGACAAATAGAATATTTGCTTTAAATCGTGATAATTTGCATCTTACTAATAAATTTAAACACATATCAAACACCCATTTGGTAATACTGTATCACATAAAATGTTAATAAAATACAAAGAATTTTATAAAAAAGGCATTTATTTTTAAAAATAATATCAAAAATAAGAAATGAATTGATATTTAAAAACATGATTGAAAATGAGTCACCCGACCTCCCGTTCTCCCGCCCCCCTCCCCCATGCACTTCACAGTCAGTCGTCATCGGACTGGGAGTCCGACTCGCTATCAATGTTCGGCGGTATAGAGGGTTCGGCGCCGCAGTCGCGCAGGTATTTGATAATCGCTAATAATTTCTTATTATTGTTGCTATGAATGGACGACAGTATCCACGCGTAATGGAGTGGCGTATGGCCGGCATATGAGCGCACATTCACAGCGGCTTTGCATGTCTTCACCAAAAACTGTATTAAATCCAAGTTTTGGGTTTCGACCGACCAGTGCAGTACACTCTTACCACTCTTGCCCTCCTGTGCCGTACAAATCAATACAATTAGTGAGTGAGTGAGAGATACATACTATTAGATAATAATAAGTGAAAAACAATACTAACTATAAATAACTGCACAAAACATATCCTAAATATTAATGTCTTAATAGTATTGTACTGTATTTAACAATAAATAAAAATTATTTATAAAATCCTAACAAAGCCTTAACGCTAGAAAACTTTTCCCCCAATTCTTATACATTGTAATAACATAATAAAAAATTACTAATCAATGCATGAATTTATAATTACATAATTCCCTAAACACCTGAAACCCACCACAAAACCCATTCACCGCTAATACACACAATAGAGCGTACGAAAGGTTGACTACCTGTGCGTTGACATCGACCCCGCATTTGACGAGTAATTCAATAATATTTTTGTTTTTATGATACGCCGCCAAATGAAGACTCGTTTCGCCTGTAAGTCATATGAAAACAACAATTAATAACAATTTCATATCGATTGCAAATACACAGCAAAAACAACACACAAACAGTTTACTACACACTGAAAGGCTAACTGAAACGCTAAACAACAACACAATTGAGTGTAAAAACACACTTCAATATCAAGAGCTAGAAACTAGTGACTGATATTGAAAATTGAATGCAAAATACACGGGAAAACCAAACAACTACACAATT